CTTTTTTCGAAAGCTGCTGTGGGGCCAGCACAGTGGGGTCCCACGCAGACCCCAACGGGATCTCGCCATCCCTAGGTGGCTGAAAAGTGTAGAACTGTCGCCACTTTCAAGGGCTGCTGGGGGAGGCAGTACAATGGAGTACCACGCAGACTCCAACGGGACCTCGCCATCCGTGGGTTGCTGCGAAGTGTGAATTTGTCGCCACTACTTTTGAGAGTTGCTCGGCGGGGCAGCACAGCGGGGCCCAACGCAGATCCTACCAGAATTTCGCCACTCCTTGGGAGCTACGAAGTGTGACATTGTCGCCGCTTTTGAGGGCTGCTGGGGGGGCAGCACGGTGGGGCCCCAGTCAGACCCCCAAAAGACCTCGCTATCATCTCGCTGCTTCTGCCGCGGCGATTGTTTCCCCCCCTGGTGTTTCTTTGTTATTCCTTTCCAGTACAATGCCTCCTGGGCTTGTGTACCTCTGTTCTGCGAGTCGTCCACGCACACTTCGCACGACATAGGTATCCGCCCTGCACCGTCTGTTGCACTGTTGCTGTCGGCCATGGTACCTCTCCTGGTGCTTCTCGTGGCTCAACTGGAGGCCCTCGTAGTTTAATTGGTGCCCCTCGTAGATACTTTAGAAGAATTGGTAGCTCAGTGGGCGGCCCAGGTACCTTTTTCCCTGTGGCTCCCGTAGCTCAGGTTGTGGCCCTCGTAGTTCAGGTTGTGGCCCTCGTAGTTCAGCCCGCGGCCCTCGTAGTTGAGCGAGTTGCCCTTGTAACTCTGCCGGTGGCTTTTGTAGCTCAGCAGGTGGCCCAAGTACCTCTCCTGCTGCCTGGCTCAGCTGGAGTTCCTTGAGGTTGTGCTTGTGTCCCTCGTAGCTGTGCTTGTGGCCCTCGTAGTTCAGCTGGTGGCCCTCATAGGTCTGTTGGAAGCTCTGGTAGCTCAACAGGTGGCCCAGGAAGCTCTGCCAGTGGCACCAGTCGCTCAGGTCATGGTCCTCGTAGCCCTTTTTCAGGTCCTCGTAGTTCAGGCATTGGCCCTCGCAGCTCAGCGGGTTGCCCGTGTTGCTTAACAGGTGGTCCTGGGCCTTGTATCCTTCCTGGTGTCGCTCGCGGCTCAGCTGGAGGCCCTCGGAGTTGAGTCGGTTGTCCTGGTAGGTATGTTGGAACCTCTGGTAGCTCAGCAAGTGGCCTGGGTAGCTCTGGCTTTCGTTGCTCAGGTTATGGTCCTCGTAGCTCAGGCTGTGATCCTCGTAGCCGTGCTGGTGGTCCTAGTAGTTCAGCCTGTTGCCCTCATAGCTCAGCTGGCTGCCTTTGTATATCTGCTGGTGGTTCTGGTAGCTCAGCTGGTGGCCCTTGCACCTCTCCTGGTGCTTCTCGTGTCTCAGCTGGAGGTCATCGGAGTTCAGTGTGTGACTCCCGAAGGTCGTCTGGTGGCCCTGGAATTTTTGCTGGTGGCTGTTGTAGCTCTGGCGGCACACTCTCATCGTAGTCCCGGAGGACCGGGTCGAAGTCGTCGGCTGCCAAATCCTAGTGTTCCACGTCCTGGCGGCCGGTGTAGTCGTGGGGTCCTAGGAGTACAGGTCGCTGTCAAACAATTGCCATCGTTTTGCTGGTAGTATGCGGCGCGGCCGTAGTCGTAATCGTTATAGGCGGCGTAGGCGTTGTCCATCGGTACCTCCACGACGACGTACTTAGTAACCTCTTCGGTCTGCTCGGTCGTGTCGGTCTTGGTGGCGTACTTGGTGTCCTACTGTTGGTGGTCGTCCTTGGGCTGCCTGTTACGCGGCTCATTGTCACACTTGGGCCACCTGTTCCGCAGCTCGTCCTCGGGCTGCATGTCACGCAGCTCGCCCCGTCCTGTAGAGGACGCCATCATGAAGGCGGTCGTAGTGATGGTGATGATTTCGTTGCGATATGGTTTTAGCCAGTCCTTTTGTTGATAGCTGCATCGGTTCCTACACCTCTATGCGTGTATGGTCACGGCATACTTGCTGGTTTCCAAAGAGGTGGGTAGGTCTCGTAGCCGATGTTGTAGATGTGAAGTTTGTAGTTGGCCCACGAGGCCGCATGTCGCTCGCAGCATCTGCGGCGGTTCATGGTTGGCGGCCGGCGGGCTAAAGCCAGGCCTCCCAGAAGCGCGCGCACGGCTGGGCGCGGCCCCATGGGGCAAGTGCGGGGGTTGGATCACGCATATGGCCTTATCCACATTCCACTTCCTCCTCCTCTTCCTCCTCCTCCTCCTCCTCCTCCTCCTCCCTCCTCTTCAAGGGTCAGGTCGTCGTTTTCCTCTTGTGTTTTCTTGCTTTGTCTCTGTGGCCATCCTCGTTCACCGCGGTGTCATCCCCGTCGGGAGTTCGAACGGACCAGGACGAGACCGACGTCGTGGAGCAGGGAGAGGGTGTGTTGGGGGGCGTCGCCGTTGTCGTCGGCCGCGGCGGCGCCCTGCGCGGCCGCGGCGAGGCAACCCCGCGGCCGTGCCCGAGGTGTACGGCAAGCTCCCAGGTGCGCCTGGCTATTCGCGCGTTCTCGGCCTCGCTGCCTCCTCGGGTCGCCGTGGGGCAGAAGTTCGAGGATCGAGGTTTGTCTGCGTTTTTCGTCCTTGTTCCCACGGCTGGATTCCTCTCGAAACCGATATCGATTTCCCAGTCTGGGGTCTCCGTTTTTGGGGCCGCACCTCCCCAACCTCCGATTGCCATCCCGACGTGAAGCCAATCGAAATTGGAAAGCCACAATCCTCCCCCCTGCCCTTCAACGTCTGTACCACCCGATGGGTAGTCTGACACGCACAATGATCCTCCCGCTCCTCATGTTCATCCTTTTCTTCTCCACATCTTCCTCAGATGACGCCATTCTGCTGAGGAGTAATGAGGAGGAGGGTAACCTCCGCAGAGCCAAGTCGAGTCTGGGGCCAGGCCCAGTTGGGTGCCGCACGCTGCCAGGTTGCCGCAGGCCTTTGAGCGAGCGTGTGTGGTGTTCAGTCTTGGAGGGCGTGATGTATACGAGGACGCAGTCTTCAGTCTTCAGCGTGAGGAATGCTTTTGCCCGGGGGTTGCCCAAATTCCGAATGGACAGGCTTTGTGTTCCCTTCAACCTTTGTTCATTCACGAGCACCCCTGGGAAGCAATTGAGATCCCCCTTCTGGCGAATATATGTATATATATATATATATATATATATATATATAACATTTCCGGCCCTGGAAGTGATATTCATCCCCCTCCCGCTTTCGAGCGAAAACGTGGCGCTTGCTTCAGTTGCGCACGCGAGAGCAACATTGCCCGTTGCGCACGCGAGAGCAAGCGCACGCGCTCGTATGCCCGCGCGCGCGGGCAGTGAGGATAATGCGCAGTGTCAAAATGCATTATGTCATGTTGAGACCCTCAGGACACTAGTGAAACAAGTGGTTGTCATGTTATGTTTCGAAGTGAAGGTGGCCATTCTCTATTGGAGAGGCCCGACGGCCGGTGCAGCCGACCCTTATCGAAAGGGCTAGGAGTTGGGGGAGGAAGCGGAGGATGAGGAGGAGGAGGAGGAGAAGGAGGAGGAGCAGGAGGAGGAGGAGGAGGAGGAGAAGGGGGAGGAGGAGGAGGAAGAGGAGGAGGAGGAGGAGGAGGAGGAGTAGGAAGTCCATCCTTTGTGTGCCCTCTCGAAGAAAGTGCGCCCCAGGAGTGTGATATTCTGACTTGGGACGTGCTCCCGGAAGAGGAAGAAGTGCATCTCGGGCGTGCCCGCTCGAGGAAAATGCGCCCCAGGGGGGTGGTATTTTGACTCCGGGCCCGCTCCTGGGACGCCTCTGCGGGAGGAGGAGGAGGAGGAGGAGGAGGAGGAGGAGAAGGAGGAGAAGAGAGGAGCAGGAGGAGGAGGAGGAAAAGGAGGAGGAGAAGGACCAGGAGGAGGAGGAAGTGCATCCCGTGCGTGCCCGCTCGAGGAAAGTGCGAAGTGCGCCCTGGCGGGCGTCGTATCTGCCCCGCCCCCCCCCCCCTGCGGGGAAGGGATCAAAGGGAAGGGGCTTCCCTTCGACTCCACTACGACGTCGTTTAATTTCGCTTTGGATAGCGCGCTTGAGGAGGAGAGCCCTGGGAGGGGGAGAACGGAGACGACGGAGACGACGAGTCGAACAGAGAAGCCCCTCACACACGCCGGCAGGGTCGGCGGATTTGTTGCTGCATTGAGCACGCGAGACCGAGCGCACGCGCGCGTATGCGCGCAAGGGACATGAGAAACATGTGCAGCGTGGCAATGTGTGTTTCCACGTTGAGGCAGCAAAAAAAAGAAGTTTCAAAGTCAATACTGCACTTCATTGTTGGTGTTCGTATTGCGCACGCGGGACCGGCCGCACGCGCGCGCTGGCAACGAGGACAATGCGCAGTGTCACAATACATCATTTCACGTCGGGGCCCTCAGAAGTTAGCCATTGATTTTCACCACTCGGTTTTCGAAGTTATGATGGCTATTGTTTGGGGGGTGCTCGTATTCCACGCGCAAGACGGAGCGCACGCGCGCGTACCCGTGCGCGCCGACAATGAGGTAAATGCGCAGTGTCAGCTGTTCTCGTTTGAGCTTGCTGAAACGGAAGGACCACCTGAAAATGGGGTCTCTCATTGCTTCCAAGCGTTAAGACAGCGTTAAGACAGCACCCAAAAGGGCCAGGCTTGCCTCCATTATGCCACCGAAGATTTGGATAACGTGGATGGGGCAGGGGGTAGAAGGTCTTGGGGGGGGTCTGCCTTATTTCTTGGTGGTTCGAAGGGCTTCTTGGGGCACCTCGGAGATTCTGAGGGAGTCCGGGTGAGTGGGGAAACAGAGGAACAGAAGCAGGAGGAGGGGAAACATCATGAGTCCGCGTGAGGAAAAAATCACGGAGCTTGCTCATGACATCTCAGGGGGCCACGGAGGGTTCCGGGTGCATCGAATCACCTCGGAGGATCTCTGAGCTTTGAGGGCCTTGGTCGGTTGGGGCCCAACGACGTTCGCCATGGGGAGACGAGGCGGGAGAGGACACCACTCCGCAGGATTGTTTGCCAGGACTTTCTCCCAGTCACCCGTTTACATTCACTATTACTTATTGGTTTTCATAGGATGGTTGTTTACGCTCACTCGAATATGTGTATTAGCCTGGCACTAGCGCGCGTGCAAGTGATTTATGCGCGCATGCATGATGTACATTTCGGGATACGCAGAGCTCCACGCCAACACGGAGACGATTCATACGGCCCGAGGTGCTCAGATCACCTAGGTGCGATCAGTGGAAGCACATGGAGTGACAGTAGGAACGGATGCGCAGAGTACGCTGCAAACATCAATTGGTGCGAATTTTACGGCCGTTACAACTACAATGGAGAGGGCACGGCCAAGTGGGCATGTTGTGCTTGCGGCGGCGGCGTGATTGCGCCGGGCGACCCAACTCCATCCCCCACAGGGTGCGTGGATCACCTTGGAGCGACCAGCGGCAATGCCTGGTCTGACGGGTGGAACGTTTGCGACGCGTACGCTGCGAACACTGGATGGTGCGACTCATATGGCATACACGATTATAGCGGAGAAGGCACCGCCATTTGGGCATGTTGTGCGTGCGGTGGCGGTTGGCATGCGACGGACAGCCCGACGCCTAGCCCAATCCTCAGCCCGACGTCCAGACCGACGCCCAGCCCGACGCTCAGCCCCACGTCGAGCCCGACGCCGAGCCTCACGCCAACTCCAGCAGCGCTCACGCCCGCAGTTCAGGCGCCTGTCCCGACAGGCAGTCCCACGGCGAGCCCGACGCCGCCTCCAATACAGTCCACGTTTGACGCCATGCCTCTCGCGATGCCGGTCCAAACGTCAAGCGCAGGGCTAGAGCCAGTGTCAGGCGCAATGGCGAGCCCGATGTCCACGCCAGCCCCGATGTCAGGCTCAATGTCGAGTTCGACTCAGAGCACCGTCGTCGCTGCCGCGGGCGATCCTCATATGCAGAATGTGCACGGTGAGCGGTTCGATTTGATGAAGGAGGGAAGGAGTGTTTTGCTAAACATACCTCGCGGAGAACGCGCTGGTAACACATTGCTTCGCGTGGTGGCCGACGCGCGCCGATTGGGTGGAGCATGCGCTGGTCTATATTTCAGTTCAATAAATGTTACAGGAGCTTGGTCAGAGAAACAACGAAGGGGAGGATACAGTTACGCTGCTCGAACTATTGTCAAGAAACCTCCGAAATGGCTCATATTCGGTCACCGGCATGGCTTTGGCTGTGCGATCAAAGTTGTCTATGGACGTACGCAAGGGGGTTTGGTCTACTTGAATTTCTACGTTCGACACTTGGGGCGAGCAGGATTTGTCGTCGGAGGCCTACTGGGTGAAGACGACCACTCATATGTAGCCACGCCTTCCGCTGCATGTCTCCAGCGCATGGCCTTGCATTCGCAGTCAGAAGTCAACAGAAACGGCTCCGATGAGAGGTCGGTTGCTTCAGCCAGTTTCACATGACCACGTTCTGTATTCAGTTCCTGTGCCCTTCGCTTCGCGCCCTCCTCATCGTACTGCCATCTTGGAGCCGACTTGGAGCTGTCTTCGAGCGCACCGAGGCCGAATAGCAGAGATTGCAGGTCGTCTGGACCAATTTCGCACTCCATTTTGCAAGTTTGTCCAGGAGGATCTCTGGGAGGCTCTCGGGACGCCAAAGTTCTTTGGTCGTCATGACGTTTTTGATGATTTTAGCGTTCTCGCCATATTGGGCTCCCGACAGTCTCAGACGGACCCGACGGCTTCCGTTATGGCCCGAAGACAGCCCAAGAAACCCACAATTAGGGTCACAAGACGGTCCAAGATGGCCCCCGCTCCCAGACGGCCGCGATGGCCGTCTCCCTGAACTCCCAGAGCGGGGTCCAAATCATGAAGCAGCCTTGTCGGAGACCGGCTGCCGCCCCTGCGCTCCGGCCGAAGATCCCGTCGTTCAGGCGCGTCGGGAATCCAGAACCGTGGCCAGGGCGCAGGGGCGGCAGCCGGAACCCGACAAGGCCGTTTCATTGCTTCGACCCAGGCGTCCTCGGTCGCCTCCGGTCTCTCCCTCCCTCTTTCTGCACCCTTCGGTTTCGCCCAGGAAGGTCCAGGATACCACAAGCGGCCGGACGAATCCTCACTGGCGGCCGAAGGAAGAGGCCCGAAGGAGGGGCCCGAAGGGGAGGATGGGAAATGTCCGCGCGTTGCTGCGATTCGCCCTCCACTGGTCGTCCCGCCAGGCCCTCTGGGAAGCCCCACGTAGGGCTGAACAAGTGACGGCAGTCGGATGGCAGCTTTCCCATGCAGAAGCCAAGCGCTGAGACAGTGACGACAGTGCCGTTCTTGAGAACCTCACCCGTCTTTGGCATCCCGCGGCGCGAAGCCTGGCCCACCACGACACTGTACGATTGCGCCTCCAGCCGCTGGGCCTGGCGGGGCAGTTGACAGCTGTTCTCGCCTGTAAGAAACACTTACCCGCCCCCTGCGGTAATGGAGGGCAGGCGGCGGGGATGGGCTGGTTGGCGGCTTGGTCGGTTGGGTTGATTGGGGTGGGCGGGCTGGCGGGGAGGTTGGTCGGACCGGTTGGCGGGTTGGCTAGTTGGGCCGTTTGGGTGTTGGTTGGGTTGGCTAGGACAAGTGGTTTCGACGTTCACAAATTGGGCGCGCTAAGCGTCATCACCTCTTGGCCTAAAACTGCCACCTACAGGCTGGGAACAGCTTTCTCCCAACGCCGCCACATGGGCCAATGCCGCATAACAAGGGGATTTGTGTGAGCAATGGTTGCACTATGTGATACAGTGGCCGAACACACTGCGCTTCGGATGTCCACACCCATTGCCCTTGTTTTACTGTAGCACAAAAGAGCAGTCAGTACGCTCCGTCCTGCTCGCGTGTTTGCACCCACGACGTGTGTGACATGTCAGTTCACTGTCGTACACACATCGACAACACCCAATGTGTCTTGGGAGCACCCAAGGGCCGTAACGTTCCGAATGCTTACGCCCACCACGTGTGTGAATTCATGATTCCTTCTCTGCCATACATACACCATGAGACAACTTACAATGTTTCTTGGAGCGCCCGGGCTCCCCCACGACGACGACATCGACGACGACCACCACGACAACGACGAAGATGATTTTGACGACCACGAAGACGACGACGACGACGACGACGACGACGGCGGCGGCGGCGGCGACGGCGACGGCGACGGCGACGGCGACGGCGATGGCGACGGCGACGGCGACGGCGACGGCGACGGCAACGGCAACGGTGACGGCGACGGCGACGACGACGTTGACGTGCGCGGTGGCCCGAAGGCCGGCCACGCCGGTCTCCAAATGCGTCAGGGATGAAAAAGACGCGGAGACAGCGGGGCGCGGTGCGCGCCGGCGCCAGATTGGCCAGATTGGTCAGCCGGCGGCCAGGGGCTTCAGAGGACCATTGGGGATGTTGCGCCGACGCTGGTTCCATTGTTTCTGGGAGGGTGGGGAGGGAGACTGGCCCACTGACTCGCTGATGGTTCCATTGTTCTTGGGCGTGCGGGGAGGAATGGGGGCCCGCTGGCCTGCTGCTGGTTCCAGGGTTCCACGGTGGCCTGGGAGGGAGAGGGGTCGGCTGACTCGCTTGACACCTCCCCTTGCTGTGTCGACGAGATTGGTTCTGTGGCGGGCGCGTCCGCACTCTCGCGTGCCATGCCGCTCCGGGGCGGAGTTGGCAAAATTGAACAGACCAGATTCATTCATTTAATGCCCGCTGATGAGGAAAGGGGGGTGGATGGAAACTTTAAGAACGTGGAGGAGGGGAGGAGGAGGACGAGGAGGAGGAGGACGAGACCGTGAAAGATGTAGTCAGGGCATGCCCGCGCCCCGGACCGGGCAACTTGCGGAGATTTCTCCTGATGTGCGCGTTGTGTGCCAGGCCGAAACAGGGACGTTGCAAGAGCCCCACGAAAGCCACGGCCCCAAACCAGGCAAATGGCGAGAACGTCCCAAGCGAAACCAGGCCCAAACCAGGGGGAACCGACCAAATTGGGAGGACGTCTCAGGCGAAACTGCGCCGAAATCATGCGAAACCAAGCACACGGAGAGGATGTCGAAGGCAACGTAGGGCCCAAACCGGGCGAAACAAAAGCGAAGCCAGGCAAATTGCGACGACGTTTCAGGCGAAACCGCGCCGGAACCATGCGGAACCAAGCAACCGGCAAGGACGTCCCAGGCAACGCCATGCCTGAACCAAGCGAACCCACGGCCAAAACAGGCACAATTGCGAGGAAGTCTCAGGCGAAACCGCGCGAAGCCAGGCCCAAACCAGGCGAAACCATGGCGAAACCATGCAAATTGCAAGGACCTTTCGCGCGAAACCAGGCCCAAGCCAGGCCAGACCAAGGAAATTATGAGGACGTCTCAGGCGAGACCGAGCCCAAACCAGGCCAAACGAGGGCCAAACCAAGCAAGTTCGGAAGATGACTCAGGCGGTTTGCGCCGCCCAACCAGGCCAAACTAGGCCAAAGCAGGCCCAAACAGGGCCCACACCAGGGAGATTCAGAGGACGTCCCAAGCAGAGTCGCCCAAACCTGTTCTCGTCTTGGGCTTAGGGGGGCGGGCGGTTAGCCACAGGGGATCCTCCCCTTGGGGAAATCGCCCCGTGGTTTTCGCGCCTGCCCTCCTCCTTTACCTGTCAGAGCTCGCTGGGCTGCCTTCCCCCAGTCCAGTGGGCAGGAGGCGACGCCCGACCGCGGCCGTTGCCTGCATTTCCCACGTTTGATGTCAAACAAAACCATCAGCATCAGCATCCCTCATCCCTCATCCCTCATCTCTCATCCCTCCTCCGCTGCCGCTCTCCCGCGCCTTGCCCTTTGCCGTGCCTTCTCGCGGGGCGGGCGCATCCTGGGCGCGCGCCCGCCGCCCCATCGCTGCCTCCTCCGCGTGGAGGAGGTGGAGGCCACGCTTCCTCTTGCTCCACTGGGCCTCTCCTTCTCGGAGGCCCGTTCCGCTAAAAGGAGGGGATGGATGCTGACGAGGGCTTGGAAGCCTGCGGTTTCCATTTCTCTCTGGTCGCTGACCTTTTTGCGCGTTGTACGTTCGGCTCCATCATATGTAGATGTTGAGCGCGCGCGAAACGCACGCGCTCGGGGTGTTCAAGCATGCGACGCACACCCGTTGCCGTTTCGACCGGACGTAGGGCCCATGAGTTGAAAAATGGGAGGCTGGTCGCCTCACCGTCTTCCACCTCCTGGGCGGTCCTCATGAAGGTCATCTTTCAGGGGGGGTCACCAGTCACCACTAGTACCCTGATGCGCAGGACGTCCGTGGTGTTCTGTTTTCGCTGCCCTCGCGGCACTGGGGGCGGAGCCAAAGATAGACGGGGGACCTTTTGGGCGTTGCGATCGCGGCGGTTCCCCCGTCGTGTTGTTCAAGCATTGTTCGTACCACACGCGCGTTTCGTCCAAGCTTTCCCAGACCTCCGTTATCGCGGTTCTGTCAATCCGTGGTCCCCAGAGTTCCCGACTCCACCCCTGGCATTGCCGTTTGACGGCCCCGCGGCCCAGAAACGGCCAGCAGACGCAGGAAACGGTGAGAACCTCCAGGGTGATTCCTGTTCGTGTCGCCAGAGGTGTGGTTTTGGATAAGTTTCTGCGTTTTCGGGGGACAGCGGTCGCGAGATCGAGGTTTCGTACCCCGCACCACCGCATGCGTAAAATGGAGCTCTTCCTGCCCACCAGAGCCCACAGGAACGCTCCGAACCGCCCAGAAAAGCCGGAAGATCTCGATCCGTGAGCTGCGATTGCGGCGACGACGAAAGTTGCATCATGTCTGCAGCCCGTTGCAGCTCGCCCTCCTGGCGGTGGTCTTGCCCCCCCCCCTGGGTTGCTGGCCGCCCACCGCCGCCACGCCTGGCGCAGAGCTGCCTGGGGAGGGAGGCGTCGCTGCCCGTGCCGGCGGCCTGGCCACGTGGCTCATTGCTCCACCCTCATGCAGCCACGGCAGGTCAGTGCCTGTGAATAGAACCCGTGTAATACCCTCATATATACTCCTTATCCTCACCTCTCCTGCGCCGTAGCCATTTTGGCTCAAGGTATTGGGACAGATCGATCAGACCTTTGATCGTGCAGGAGGGAAAGACATCCATCTATCCCTCCTTCCCTCTACCAGCGGATCAGGGGTTCTGTACCCTTGTACTTCAACCCCATTCACAGGTTACCAGCCCTTTAAAGCTCACTGTTCATCGAACCCCGCGTCGCGACCTCGCACGCGGCCTCGATGGAACCCAAGCGGCGCATGCGCCGTAAGGGGTCCATCGGGGCCTCGCGTCCGAGCTCTCCGACGGCGCGACGGCTCGGTGATGAGTTGGAGAGCCTTAGTGCGGACTGTGTTGGTGTCCCAGGTACCCCCCCCCCAGCTCCGACGGACCCGAGGCGCGGCTAGCTGCTGAACTTCACCGCAACGCCGCCCGCGGGGGGGCAGGAGAAGGAGCGGGAACAGGAAGGAAGGAGTTCCACACGCCTACCTTCGATCCCCCATCTCCTCCTCAGTCGGGAGCAATCCCAACTGCGTCAGGCGAAAGCCTCACTGGTCCTGATACTCCAGGGCGCTTTCGCGCTAACCGCCGATGGACCTCAGGTGCTGGTACCCCCAGCCCTGCGACCGTTCCTGTTGCGGAGCACGTGGCCACCTTCGAGGAACTCAGTAGACCAGTGGCGGCGCAGCCGCAGACGCAGTACCCCAAGGTATCATCGGATGAGACACCGCACACACACGGTCCTAGCCGCAGCTCGTCCGCGCGCAACCGTCGTGGGGCCCCAGACCCATGCGGCGAGAGTAGGTCGAGCCCGCGTGCAGCCTCTCAGAGGCCAAGCACTCCTCGCGAGAGGGGGCAGAGGGAAGCCTATGCTCCCCACCTCTCCATCTCAGACGACCAGCTGGCGGAAACGTCCGCCGCAGGTGAAATAGCTGAGCTCAGAGACCAGGTTGAAACCTTCGTGTCCAGGCAATGCTCTGGACTACTGCAGAGCGTTCAGACGAACGCTGCCAATACTGCAGCCATACGCCAAGATCTCGACGGCGCCTTAGGGATCATTGATTCCAGGATCGCCGAAGATCGACGCATCATAGGTGAACTGCAGTGCCAGGTTGATCGTGAGGTGTCACACCCAGGTGAACGAACGGCAATGGTCGAAAACCTGCGCAACTACCTTGCGCAGATGGAGCAACAGCTTGTGTTCGTACGCGACACAGGCGTTTCAGCAGTCAGAATCTTACACGATGAGATCCACGACCAGCTCCGCAACCGACCAACACCAGCCGAGGCCACCGACCTTGGCGACGTTCAGTCTCATATCAATGATCTTCGATCCCACATAGACCACACTACGGCGACGCTTCGCAACGAAGCACACACCAACTCGTCGAACCTGATCGACATGTTGCAGCGTACTGAGAGAGTCATCACACAAAAGCTTGATGCGACCAACGCTGTCGTGCAGCCACTCGCTAACCGGATCTCTGAAATCGAGCAGCGTTTTCTTGGTGTACAGGACGCCCTGGCAGAGTTGCGTGTCGGACGAGCCCAGACTGGCCAGCTGGATTCTCTTCCCACGGTTTACGATTTCGCCCGCCTCACTGACAGGTCGCAGGAGGTTGAGAAGGCGGCGGGCCACACGCAGTTGGAGCTCTCCCAGGTTATTCGTGAGAGAGATACTGAGAAAGTACGTGTCGAGGGGCTCCTCGCACGTCTGGAAAGCGAGCTGGAGGCACAAGGCTCCCGTCTCCGAGCCTACGAGCAACGACTTGATCGGTGCTCACAACGTTCTCGGGATACTGATGAGTACACACGCCAAAAGGTGGCCCAAATACACGAAGACATGACGAGCTGGACGAATCAGCTGATCGACCACACCAACGACACCAGTCTCCACCTTCGACCTGCAACCGACCTGCACAGGCCGACGGCAGCGCCCGCCGAAGCACCACAAGCTTCTGCAGGACAACAACGACATACGTCACCAGGAGCAGCCTCCGCGGCAGCTTCTGCACAGACACGCCATGTGTCTCCTGTGCGCACAGAACCGACTACTGACGGTGTACCGATACCCTCACAACCACTGTCTGCGGTTTCGGTCCATACTACAACCCCTATCAAGGAGTCCGACACCGTCCGAGTCCCTGTCTTGCCTAAGATCACGCAGCTGCTCGAGTGGCAGCAAAAGGTACGGAAGAACTTCGGGGCCGCCTCGGGGCGACCATCCAAAGCATATGCCTTCCTATGCGTGGCCGAACAGCCCGAGTGTACCTTCGAGGACTTGCAAGACAGTGGAGACTTTGAGAGCATCGATTGCAAACTCGCTACCGCTCTGAGCGACATCTTATCCTCAGACTTGCGCTACCAAATCAGGCTCATCGAAACCAGAGAGCACGCAGCAGGACGCATGCTCAAAGGACGCCAGATATACTGGCACATCCTACAGTCCTACAAAGTGACAGAGGTTGATGACGACCTGCACGACTTCGAGCGCCTTAAAGAACTGAGGATGAGAGATGCAGATTTGCAGCGATTTATTACTGACTGGGGCGCTTTACTATTAGAGTGCCGAGAAGCACCCGATTCAAAGATCTTGGAATCTCTGTTTCGTACACAGATTCGAAGACATGCCTGGATGAAACAAGACATGTACGAGTACCAGCGCATGAAGATCAGCGGCCCGAATCGAACCTATGATTGGCTTCGACAGCGCGTCCTGGACGTACTGGAGCTCAAACAATTGGAGAAGAATCAAAATAAGTTACGGTACGAACATGAGACACGTTCTCAAGTCAATGTGTGCGCTGCCTGGAAGAAGGGCAATTGTCGCAATGGTGAACGGCGCAAGGCTTTGCATGCATATTCCAGGGATTGGAAGAACAACAAATCTTCCAGATCATCGACAGCTGGTGGCAACTCCCGCCGCAGCGCGTCAACTCCTGCGAATCACAAGAAGCCAGCATCGAAAACATTGTGCTTCGAGTTCGCCAAGCGCAACACATGCGCCAGAGGCGACAAGTGCAACTTTCCACACGTTGCACAGTGTAAAGACTTCGCACAACACAAGTGCCCCAAGGGCGACAAATTCAACTGCGCACATCTCACACCTGGCGCGAAGACTCCCGAGCGAAGCCCGAGTCGACCACGGACCTCCAGCCAGGATAGTCGCGGCCGATCACCATCCCGCGGATCAGGAAGCCAACGTTCTTCACAACGCGGGGGGTTCCGCTACGCAAATGATTCACGCCATGGGCGTGACAACCGACGCCATACGACCGATCTCGTTCAACATCCACGCAGTCAATCGAGAAGTCGATACGATAGATCTTCGAGATCTACCCACCGAGGACGAGACAACCGTGGCGGCGGACGTGGCAGCCCACGCGGCCGTGATACATATGGTAGTGACAAAGGACGTGGCAGACGTTCCCCGAGCCGTGGTTCGCCCCGTGGTTCTCCCCACGCCAGAGCACGTTCTCCTGCCAACTATCGACGTTCACGCCGTTCCGACCGCAGTTACGTCACTCGCGACAAGACCCTCATGGCCAGCACTAAGGTCACTACGACATCTACCAAAACACGCCGTCGGATACGATTCGGCACACGTAATGTGGAATACTACCTACATGCCGTATTTGGCAGGGCCAGACTGGATAACTGGAAGGAGATGCCGAACGAGGGTGACATTGTCAATGTGCCAGACCCGCTACCACAACGATGGTGGGATTAAAGTGCAGGCGCTCTACGAGAATGTCAAAAGGAGGCGCAGCTATGGTGCAAAGATCTATATGGCTATCGACACAACAAAGAGTCGGTGGTCACACCAACTGCGACCCGAGAATACGATGACGCTGTCAAGCAGTCATCAAAGACAGCCCAGACGAAGACAACGACGATGCAAGTCGACCCACCACGCTCGACCGCTGCATTGACACGATCTTGGGTTCTCGACAGTGGTTCTGCGCATCATATTCAGGGTAAACACGAACTGACGCAGACCGAATCGGATCGCATATCTATTCGCGAAGAGCATATCCTGGAAACCGCCAATGGTGATCGTACTGTCAACGAGCACTACGACATACGGCTACCCGAGGTTGGCTCACATAGTTCAGCCCTTGCCCTGCCAGACTGTCCATCTTTACTATCAGTTGGGAAATTGATCGAGGTTGATGGCG